CAAGTGACCTACAGAAGCAGAGTCATTAGGAGGACAGCAGACCTTTCAACTGAAACTTCCAAGCTAGAAGAGCATGGTCACCCACCTTCAATGTTCGTAAATAAAACAATTTTCCTCCCAGAATTCTGTATCCTGCTAAACTAAACTTCAAAATTGATGGAGAAATCAAATCTTTTGTAGATATGCAGGCACTGAGGAAATTTGCCACACCAAGACCAGCTCTACAGGAAGTACTTAGACCTATTCTCAACATTGACCACCACAACGGTCCAGCAGCAAAGTAAACACCCAGAAGCTAAAGGTCAAAACTTAGCTTCCACAATGGCACAAAGGATAAAGCTACACAATGGACTTTCACAAAATAATATGAATAAAACTCCACCACACTTATCAATTCTCTCAAAAAATGTCAGTGGACTCATTTCACCACTGAAGAGGCACAGGCTGCCTTATTGGATAAAAAAAGCACAAGCCACCCATATGCCGTCTACCAGAGACACACCTAGCCTTGAGGACAAATCAAGACTCAGGGTTAAGGAATGAAAAACAGTATTTTAAGCAAATGTAAATCAGAAGAAAGAAAGGTTTGTAATCTTATTTTCACATTCAAGTGGATTTAAAGCAACAACAGTTAAGAAAGACAAAGATGGACACTTTATGCTGGTCAAAGGAACAATACAACAAGGAGACATTTCAATTTTAAATATTTATGCACCCAACTTAAATGGTCCCAGATTTATGAAACAGACCTGGATGGGTCTGAGCAGTATTACATCCCTTAACACCATAATAGTTTGGGACTTAAACACCCCTCTGACAGAAATGGACAAATCCTTCACATAGAAACTAAACAGACATAAAAAGGACTTAAATGTGACCCTAGGACAAATGGGATTAATAGACCTATACAGAACCCACCATCCCAAAGCTAAGGAATATACATTTTTCTCGTCATCCCATGGTATGTACTTCAAAATCAACCACATCCTAGGATACAAATCAAACCTCAGCATAATTAAAAGAATATAAATTATACCTTATATCTTCTCAGACCATGATGCAATAAATATAGAACTCAATCCCATCAAAAATGTTCACCCCCCCCCACAAAGACATGGAAATTAAACAACCTTATGTTGAATGATAGTTGGGTTCAGGAAGAGATAAAAGAGGAAATTGTTAAATTCCTCCAACATAACAATAATGGAGAAACAAGTTACCCAAACCTGTAGGATACAGCAAAAGCAGTCTCAAGAGGGAAATTTATTGCGTTATATGCCTACATTTGAAAAAAAGAAAGAGAAAAAAATAAAAATCTCTGATTCAAATCTCTCCCAAGCTATCAACGTGGCTTTTAGTATGTGACATTTCTGAACAAAGAGTTCCAAAAGAGAAACTGAAAAGAAACAAATATATTTCACCCCAAAATAAATTTCCTTAATATATTTCTAGATAGCTATTCATAAGAGCTAGAAATACAAGAATAGCAGAAAAGCTATCTTTTGTCAGGGAGATTTGCATCTGCAGATAAAATATACATTGATGCAGCCAAGCTTTCTCAGAAAGCCACTCCTTGTCTGGGGTTTAGGAAAGAGTAACTAAGAGTCTCACATCTTTAGTATATAAGAAACATTTGCATCTATTTTCTCTAAAAGCTGCTGTCTATAAGGGTTCCTCTCCATCATAAGATGAGCTTTGCAAGCCAGACCACCTCTGCTCCCCCTGCCATGAGTGTTTTGCCATCATAACTCATTTTGCTATAATGCAAGCCCCCTTTTATTCTGTAACCTCAAGATAGAATATAAGCTTCTTTATCCCATTTGGGTTTTGAAGTAATCACTCTATGATTCTTCTCTGTGCATGTTAATACATTTGTCTGCCATTTTCCCTATGAATTTGCCTTTTGTCAGTTGATTTGCAGTGAACCATCAGAAGGGGAAGGAGAAGTTTTCCCTTGGCCCCTACCAGGTTTTGGAATTAAAATTTCCTATTTATCTCAGATTTCAGAATTTTAGCTATAGACTCAATTTTGTGTCTGATGGTTGGTAGGAACATCCATATTTTAAAAACAAAAGTGTTAATCACATCTCCATAGAACTAGGGAATGGGACTGAAGATGAGGCATAAATGAGGAGAAATTCTGGGCATAGAACCATAGGACTTAATGGACAATTAAGTGACAGGAATGAAAAAACAGAAATACTGGAGAGATTGGAGTTATGAATAGAATATAATAATGGAGGCAATAAATTAATTGAGTTATGTTTATAGAATTCCTGTATAAAATTATTTAAATTATTAAATTTTAATCAAAGTAATACCATCTCCATGCCCGAGATGTAGGATATTAATACCATTTATATAGTCACTATAAGGAAGATTACTTAAACATCAAAAGTTCAAAATATTCACTTATAATGATAATAATCCACAAGAGAGACAACATCATGATTTTGATTACATGATAGTACATGATAATTGTGTTTTTAGTATATTTTAAAATTCTTATATTTTACAGAGAATGCTTAAAATATTTATGAATCACATTCAATGTTGAAACATACCACCATCCTTCCTAAGAATGTGGCAGTCCAGGCCTGGTGAGGAATACCAGTAATCCCTGCACTCTGGGAGGCCAAGGCAGAAGAATCACTTGAGCTCAGACATTTTAGACTAGTCTGAGAAAGAGTGAAAAAAAATAGAAAAATTAGCCAGGCTTTGTTGGGGGAGGCTAAAGCAAGAGGATCACCTGAGCACAAGAGTTTGAGGTCAACCAGGTGCAGTAGCTCACGCCTATAATCCTAGCACTCTGGGAGGCTGAGGCAGATGGATTGATTGCCTGAGCTCTCAGGTTCCAGACCAGCCTGAGTCAGAGCAAGACGTTGTTTCTAAAAGAGAAAAAAAAAAAAAATAGCAAGGCATTGTGGTGGGTGCCTATAGTCCCAGTGACTTGGGAGGGAGGCAAGAGAATCGCTTGAGCTCAAGAATTTGAGGTTGTGGTGAGCTGTGATGCCACCACATTCTATGAAGGGTGACAAAGTGAGACTCTGTCTCAAAAAAAAAAAAAAAAAAAAAAAAGGGCAGTCCGCCTGCATGCTAACAGACAATATCATCAACTTATTATGGTCATGGGCTCTGTAGTATTTCTTGGATATGAATCCCATCTTCTCATTTAATACCTATGTAAATTTGGGCAAGTGCTTAATCTCTTTGTGGCTTAGAGAGAAATAACAATATTTCCCTTTTGTTATGAGAATTATATGAGATAATAATACAAAGTTCTTCGAACAGTGCCTGACACTTAGCAAGTTATACTCAGTTTATATTATCATTTTATATTTCAGAACTGGGATACAATTCCTGCAGGAAAACATAAGAATAGTTCTAATTTTAGAATTGTGATATGTAATTATAATATTATCTTGGAATAGTCTTTAGGAAATAGGGTGTAAGTTGTCTATAGTGAGTGATACTGAAGATGAGGTTAATAAACTAATAAATCAATCTCCAAAATGCATCACTTATTTTTACTGAACTGAAGAATCTGTTATCCCCCTTACCACAATCACAGTTCATGTTAGTCAATTTCCAGAATGGTTGATATGTCGAAGACTTTTAACTTTTATCGACCACTTCCTTTACCCTCACACAAGAATAAATTTCTCTTCCCATTTAACTGAAATGCACTGACAACATCCCTGCCAGAAGTATTCCTCTTCCATTATATGAAAAATAGCTGTGCAAAAGTTTCTGTGCCAATTTAATGCTATACTCTGCACTTACCTATGTATTCTGCTAAAGATCTTGTTATTTATGTTCTATATTGCATCTTCCCCATTAGATAGCCAAATTCCTCAAGACTATGGACCATGTCCACTTAATTTTATTCTTCCACTTGCTCACAGCATAGATTTGTATACTTTAAGGTGTGTTCTGCATAAAAAAAATGAAGCTGAAGACACTTTGGGGAGTGACTGAAATAAATTCTCCAGTGTGAATCCTGAAAGAACCAGGTCAATGGCCCACGGAATTATATAATTTTTAAAACTGTTTCAGCTTGAAGGGACCTTAGAGATCACTTTTTCTAGATTCTTCATCTTACAAATTAGGAAAGGAGCCAGGGTGACAACTCAGCCCTATCAACTGACAAGGCTACATTTCTTCAGTCTCATCGACTTCCTCTTGCCTTGGGTCGTTTATTTCCAGGTGATTTCTGATAATTAAGGGGTGTGTGTGTGTGTGTGTGTGTTGTTTATTGGACTTTATCACCTTGCCAGATAACAGAAACAAACATATTACACATAGAAGAAAGAAAAGATGACAGAAGTATAAATTAAAGGGATATTTTTTTCTTCCTCTTGTCTTCACATCTTTGTTAAAATTTTGGATTACTATGAGGGTACAAATGATTAAGTTACGACGTTTGCTTTTGTTAGGTGAGGTCCCTGTTGTAGTCATGATCCCCTCCCAGGAGGTGTTCTATGTACCCTCACTTTGTGCCCATTAGGTGGGAGCTCACCAATCCTCCTCCCTCCTCGGCTTCTCCCCTCCTCCTCCCCACAACTTGAATTAAATCCAGTTTTTCTCTCGTGTGAGCTGTGTTAAATCCTCTACTGGCTTCATACTAGTATTGAATACGTTGGATACTTGCTGTTCCATTCTTGTGATACTTCACTAAAGAGAATGTTCTCCAACTCTATCCAGGATAATACAAAAGATGTAAAAGTCTCTATCTTTTTTTTTTCTTATGGTATTCACATCTTAAATAAGAAAAACCCGTATACCGAAGACAGGAGACTATTTTAGGGCATATACAATCGGCATAGCGGATCTGTCTTTGCTTCTGGAATTATCTTTTTCTAGACTCCATTTTAGGGATCATTATCTTGGATACCCAGTCATTAGTGGACAACTTGTGTGCATAGGAGCGTTTCAGGTGTTGAGGAAGCATGCAAGCGCAGGGAGACTTGCCTGAAAACACAAAACCGAGCCTCGGAGGCAGGTGGACAGGAGGGGGGGCGGTGTCCGCGCGCCCGCGGAGTTCCCAGGCGCCTGGCAAGTTGTGTCCGCTGGGAGGGGCGAGGCTGTCACTTGCCCGGGCGCCGGGAGCCTGAGCGTGGCTTGGACAGCTTGGCCCCGAGCAGCGCCGGGTCACTCGCATTCCTCTGAAGACAGCGGAAAAGCCAGACTCCGGGCCATGGGTGAGTGCTCGCGCGGGCTCTGGGCTCTGGACTGCGGGGAGGAGGACAGTGTGTTCTAAAAGGAAAGTGAATGTTCCCTGGCCGCTGGCTGCATCCCTCAAGCTCTGCGCCCCGTCGCCCCGCACTCCCCTTCCCTTCTCCGGGACTTCTTCTGAGAGCAAAACTAACAGGGCTCCGGTGGCACCTGGAGGCGATAAGGGCGGGCCAGTAAGCGCACCAGGACCGAGGCCCGGGGGCCTCCGGGACACTGTGCCTGGGGCGCTGTTTGAGGAATAACGACCGGGAGACCCGGGATTCGAAAGAGCTCGTGGATTCCAGGGTGGTGGCTGTCCTCGCGCGTCCCTATGTCTGAGCGTGCCATTTGGGGAGCGAGCGGAGATGGGGCCGGAGGAATAGAAACTTCGCAAACTTCCAGTTGGTACAGGTTTGGGTAGGAGCAGGTGCCCGGGGGCAGGGCGAGATTGGGGACAATGCCTAGCCCCTGTCCAAACTGAATGCACCCGGGCACAAAAGGTTTGCAGGTGACGCCTGGACCTTGGGTAGACAACTGGAGTCACAGGGCGTCAGCTCTGGGTCTGGCCTTCGGACCGTGGAGTGGGACGTCGCTGGAGTTTCTAGACACAGCTTGGAACGGCCGCGGGAATGTGACTGAGTGGGGTGGACGGGTGGGAGGACCCGGTGCGAAATAGCCGATTCAAAGCCAGCCCCGGCACTCAGGGAGTCAGTTCCGGGGGGAAAGTTGGGGGATCGAAGGGAGGGGTCACCCCTCCCCCTCCGACTTGCGCGCGCGTTCGCAGGGCTCATCCGTCTATCCGCGTAGGGCAATGTCGCTTTTTCCGCGGTCACTGATTAGCCATCAGCTGGCAGTCGAGGGTGGGGGGTGGGGGTGACTATTCAAACGCCGGTGGACCGGCTCCTACCAGCCCGAGCCCGCTGGGCGCCCCTCCCCCGCCGGGCTCTTGTCCTCTGTTGCTAAGGCTCGTCCCCAGCGCAGGGGGCTCAGGGCCAGACGTGCTCCGTTTGAAATTCCTACATTCCCACAGGCTCAAGGGGTAGGGGCTGCTTTGACTACTAATCGGTGCGGTTTATAGACACCAGCCAACTCGGAAGAAAGGAAGAGAAAAAGAGAAAGCGGAGGACATTTTTGCCTATGAATGTTAACTGTGGTCACAACATTCAGAATCGCTCCTTGCTTGACCCTGGTAGAGAATCCAAAAGACTCATTTTTAGGGCCTTTTGTATAAAACACTGTTGGAAACGATCTTACGGATGGACCGCCTTTACACGTTTTCTGAAACAGAAGGGGTCTTTGCAGGTTGAAAGATAGAGCACCTTCTCAAGTGTGGTAGCCAGTGTTTTGGGCTCTTGTTTTCTTTACTTATTTGGTTGTTACTTGAACATAAAAACTCTAGTGAGAACCCACATGGTGGGAAAGCTCTCACAAATGGAGAGCCAAAATAATTGACTTGATGCCATCTAACCATGAATTCAAGATGCTATTTGGATCAACATAATAAAATGTATAGAAAGAATTACATAATGTACCAGTGTAAACGTCCCTTCAGAGGACTATCAAAGGATAAGGCATTCATAATTTCAAAGTTACTTGTTTCTCTAACTTACCTTTACACACTCTAATGAAAACAGTTGGCCTTGGATTCTGCTTCCATGTCCACATCTAACTTTCTCATCATCCCAAATTATAGGGAGAGGGGATAGAGTTACAACTGAGTAGTTAGGATAATCCTAAACTTGATCTGTAATTCTTAAAAACTCTCTTTCTATCTGCAATCTGATAGACACTTAACAATGTGTCCACTCCTCCTTCCGTCAGGAATGAATTGCTTTTTCTCATTTGTGACTGAGGTCACCAAAAACTCACATTAGGTGTCAGGTGGCTAGTGGGAGCCAGTGGGTAGAAGGAGCAGGTGAAAAGTGAGGGGTGAAGGAAGAGGAGAAAAACAAGTAGGGAGCAGTGGTGAAGGGGAGCATGAAGTCAGAACTCAGGGCAGAGACTGAGAAATAGTGTCTCAGTCTGAGTTAAAAGACCTGATGAACGGGTGGGAGGCAAGTGAGGGAAAGAAGGAAGGAAATACACATGAAACGTGGGAAACATTTAGTCACTTAAGGTCATATTTCTCTTCTTCCTTCTGATTTACTGATGTTACTTAGAAGCTCTTTATTTTTTTAAGTAGTAAGTAAAGATAGTTGAACAATTTTTTTTTTTGAGACAGAGCCTCAAGCTGTCCCCCTGGGTAGAGTGCTGTGCTATCACAGCTCACAACAACCTCCAACTCCTGGGCTCAAGCGAGTCTCCTGCCTCCGCCTCCCAAGTAGCTGGGACCACAGGTGCCGACCACAGGTGCCGACCACGATGCCTGGCTATTTTTTGGTTGCAGCTGTCATTGTTGTTTGGCAGGCCTGGGCTGGATTCGAATCAGCCTCCTTAGGTGTATGTGGCTGGCGCCTTAGCCACTTGAGCCACAGGCACCGAGCCTAAACATTTTTTTTTTTTCAGATTAATGTGAGGGTACAAACAATTAGGTTACAATGTTTGCATTTGTTAGCTACAGTCCCTGTTGTAGTTGTATACCCCATGGTACAGGAGGTGTGCCATGTACCCTTACATTGAACCCATTAGGTGGGAGCTCACCAATTCCCCTCTCTCCTCCCCCTTCTCCTCTCCCTCCTCCCCCTTTTCCCCAACTTTAATTGAATTGAGTTTTCTCTTATGTGGGCATGTCTACTGGCTTTATGTTAGTATTAAGTACATTGGATACTTGCTTTTGCATTCTTTTGATCAGGCATATCCTCAAACTATGACCCCGGGGCAACATGTGGCCTGCCTAGGACCTTTATCCAGCCAGCCGGGTGTTTTTGCAGCTGCTGCCTGTCCTTCTTAGCAGCTGACTCTTCCCGGGGCCTGCAGTCTGAGGGACAGTGAACTGGCCTCCTGTTTAAAAAGTTTGAGGACCCCTGCTTTTGATACTTTACTAAGAAGAATGTGCTTCAACCCCATCCAGGTCAATATAAAAGCTGTCAAGTCCCTGTCTTTTTTATGGCTGAATAGTAAGTACTCCATGGCATAGACATACCACAGTTTGTTAATCCTTTCCTGGGTTGACAGGCACTTGGATAGTTTCTGCTTCTTGGTAATTGTAAATTGAGCTGTAATAAACAATCTAGTCAAATGTCCTTATAGTAGGACATTTAGTGTTGAAATCCAAATTGTTAAGATAAGAGGGGAAAGCAGTGTGGGAAGTTGATGGACTGTGGCAGCAAACTGAAGCCATCTTTCACCTGGTATCGTGACAACTGAAATGTATCATTTAAAGAAAGGATGATGATGCTTTCAGGGTGAATGTAGCAATCCTGTTTTTCTCAGAAGAAATCTGAACTCTGGCACCTGGAAGAATGAGAGTAATTGGTTAATCAAATATTCTGAATAATTTATAGTCTTCATATCTATAATGTACAAGGCTAATCTCAAAAAAATGGTTATTTGCAAAGTAGGCGGATTGAGATGTTGGCATCTCTTCTTCTTCTTCTTCCTTTTCTTTCCTCAGTGATGCCCTCAGCTTGTCTAGGTATCAAGGAAGGTTTTCCTTCTGCTCCAAAATCCTGCTTTCCAGAAAAGATACAACAAAACATTTCATACTAAAAGATGCTGGACTAATCCTTTGCTAAGCGTATTTACATTTAGCCACAAGGTTAACTTTAACCTGCAAGCTCTCTAATTATGCTGGAATTTCAGGCTCCAGCAGACAGCTAGGTCAGGAATTTTTAAATTTCTCCTCTAAACACATCACTACTGCTCTCTTTGACCACATGTATGTCATAAATGTTTACTCTGACACCATTAATCTTTATTTCATTTTTAAAAATGATGTTGGGTATTGTTTAGTTTGGCAGATGATATTATGGGAAGTTCCATGGACGTTGCTGTACTGAAGCCCTTTGGAAAGATGTGAAGAATTCGGGCAAGTATTGTTCTAGGTAGAATAAGGTGATTTGAAGGGAACAGTAGGACATGGAACTTGATTGACAGAATTGTTCTTGTTTTGGAGAGCCTTCAAAAGCAATGAGAGGAATTTAGAATTCACAAAATAGGAAATAGGGAATTCATGGGAGGTTTTTGAGCAGAGAAGAATTATGATGAGATTAGTGTTTAACCTAAGTGTTAAGGAGATAAGTAGAATATATTTGGGACAAAGAATGAATTGGAGAGGACAAACCCACTAGTCACATAATTCCAGTAATCACAGACTGTTGTGATCTGTGTCTAGGCCAGTGTGGTAATGGGGGCACTAGAGAACCAAAAAAATGGAGAAGGATTCATAATGAAAAAAATCTATGCAATTAGACAATTGAGCAATTAGGAAGAAAATGAATAAAGGATATTTTCTGATGATTTGAAACCTTGTAGATGGGGGTAATAGTGGATCCCTTGATAGAATATTTAAATGTTAAACCAGATGATTTATTTTCTGGGTGTTTTAGACTGCAGATTAATTTCATTTTTGAAGTATTAAGAAGTGATAGCACAGCATCTTAAATGCATACACTGTGTAGGCTGGAAAGACATAACGATGATTTAATCAGAGCACAGGAACAAAATGTAAACAAAGATTTGAGGGTCACCAACGCTTACTAAGAGATAACTCCCATAATAAATTTTCCATTTGAAAATGAGAGTACAGGGAATATTAGCTAAAGGGCAGGGAGGTAAGGACAAATGCTGTTCAAAGGAAGAGGGACACCAACTACAGAATATGGACAAAATGATCTAAAATGAAAAGGGTGAAATGTGACAACATAAATGTAGAGTGTTACATCTAAGAGTTTATACAGTTTTCTTCATTTTGTTTTCTTTATATTTGTGTGAGTACAAGATGGTGTTTTATGAGGTTGCTGTAAGTCCTAGAAATGGTGTCTCAACCACTGACAATACTTACTATAGGTACAACTACCACTATGGTTAAATCCTAGTATAAAAGTAC